ATTGTTACCTTACACATGCGATGGCTTAAAGGATGCTGTTCTAACAGCATCCACAAAAAGTAAAAACAAACACGCAACTCGATAACGGCGCCAGGTCTGCTAGCTTTTCTCCAAGCGAGCTTTTTCTTGTTTTTTAATTTTTACACCAAGTGGGCCTTTTTTGTTTTAATAATGAATTGGCAGCCTTAAAATAGAAACAAGAATCCGGATTTGGATTTTCCAAACGAAACGCACCTAAAATTCCGAGAAAATCCACTGAACTGTGACTTGGCTGGAATTTAATTAGACTGATTGTCTCGAACTGCACGCTGTCAGTCGGCAAATATTGTCATTTCAAAAAATATATTTCGGCCACTTATGTAAACCGAAAAAGTCATGACGTTATTTACGGACGCAACTAAAATGCGGCGCAAGACGTTGTCATGCACGCTAACTTGGCCTCATAGCATTGTCCTTTTCCCACAGGAGCTTTCTGCTATATAATTTTTGGTATAAAAGCTCAATTTATCATCATCAGAACAGAAGAACCAATGGTGGTGCTTGCCCGTCGGGCAAGCTGCGATAAGAAAACGCTAGCCCGACAAGTCATTCCACTACCCCGGGCTATCGGACAGCACTTTCGTCGCGCCCTGCAAGTAGACTTCATCTATTAAACATCTGACTTGAAAAACTGTCCTTGTTCAAAATAAGTTGCTAGGTACGAAAAACTGAGCTGGCCTGTGATTGCATCCAAGATCGCTGTTTGAAGATTTTGATACCAACATAGCTGGTCCTTTTGTGGCATGCAGTGAAATTAATTCTTAAAGAAAAGGAAGGGTATTTGAAACTAACCCACAGATTAGAACTGACTCGCAAAGTTTTAAGACAATCTACCTTATGAACGAAAAAGACCTCGATGAATACACAAAGGTCTTTTACATCTAAGACTTACACGAGATGAAAATTTGAAAATGTTTCCTTTTTCGTAAACCCGCATTTTGTAAGTTTGAATGTTTTTTAATGTCGTGAACCGTCTTATGAGTAAAATAATAGTCATAACATCATTGTTTGCGGTAATGTTAAGGGTTTTAAGATGTACATTTTGAACCTTACAGCTGCTAGGGAAGAGGGTTCGGTCACTGTAATAGTGAATGGAAAAAGTGATAAGACCGGCAACTGCGCTGATCTTGGGCAGACACAGATTTACTATTATCATAAACAAAAAGACGTTTTCAGGGACTTGGTGATGAATCAAAGCCAGCTACACGATTTCTTGGAAGAACTTGCAAAGGGTAAGTAAAGTTTTTTTTTTAGAAAAAAGCACTAATAACCCAGTGGCCCTCGTACTAATAAATGAATATACTCTAATCAAAACATGTAGCAAAAGACTTCAGATCTCCTAAAACTTTAAAATCTTTCAAAAAACACAGAAATAAATTTGCAAAGTGAAATGATGTAAAAGGTGCAGAATTTTTTTAACTTTCTTTTCCAAAGAGAATTTTTAAGAAAATGAAGTATTTTTATTTTGCTTTTAAAAGAAAACGCCAAATCCAGCAGAGACAAAGGGTCGAAATCCTCAAGTTCTGGTAAGTACAAGAAACAGCTAGACAAGTTTTAATCCAACATGTAACTATGAATTTGTTGAAAAACTGCGTAGAAGATTTAGTGGCCTATTGAAACCAAGAGAAGGTGTTTTTTGTTCCTCGGTGAGATGCGTGTTACTGTAAACAGGCTGCTGGAGAATTACAAAACCTGCTAATTTAATGTTTAAGATTCCTTTGAGATGGTTAATGTTTGATTGATGAGTGGTCGCAACTTCGAGAGATTATCATTTTCTTGGAGTCTTTCGCCATTGATATTTTGTTTACTTTAGAACTTTTCTTTCATTGTATTTGTTTCATGAATTTAAACGTGTTACTGGCGATCCTCTGCTGGGCCAGAAGACTTTTATTTACAAAGATATTAATCTGGACACATGTAGGTGTAAATCTAGTTCATGAAACTGCATTTGGCCTACCTTTTCAGCGGCGTAGCTAGCGGGCGGTCACGTACACTCTTGGGTACACTTAAAGCTACTTAACTATTACGAATTTAAAATTTTTGGTATGGGATGAAACCTATTCCAGCCCCAACCGGTCAGTTACCTGTAATGTGACTGTTTTCTTAAGACCACAACTTTCTGTAGGTCCCGTCAGAATGTAAGGCAAATAAAATCGAATCAGCTTTAAAGCTAGACAAGCGTAACAATTTTCGCTACTAAAACACACACTCTAAACTGTATGGAATCCTCATTTGCATACAGATTGGTGGCAAATTGTCCAATGTTCGGGGGTGAATTTTCTGGATACCGTTTTAGGTGAGTCATATTGCATCAAAGATCTTTAATCAAAATTCCTTCCATAGGGTCCATGGATTCAGGGAATCCTTTATTTGCACTTCAATGCCTAGTGCTGTTGGTGTATACAGCAGCGGAAACTGATGTTCGAGAGTTTATTGAATTAATCTTCAATTCATCAGCTGGAAGAGTGGTATTTAATGCATACAGGCATACGCCTCCATTACCAGAGGATATTGCAAGAGCTTTTGGCCACAAAGATACTGCGCAGTATCTTGAATCCTTAAGTAAAAGGTACCTCTTATATTTCTAGAAAGGCTCATTTTATATTAGGGTATTGAAAGTACAGCTAATAATGATTTAGGGCGGGAAAAGAGAATCCCAGAGGAAGCTATGAGGCTAAGTGTGACTTTTCAAAAGGGAAACGAGGGGCCTTAATTTGCACTACACTTTTTGCACATGCTACTGTTACAAAGTGCATATCCAACTGCATTTATTTTTGAGACATTGATGGCTTTAATCATAGGAGTTAACCATTTAATAATAATTCTGCCTCGTTATCATGCTCTGCAGAGTCACGTGAGAAAGCACTTACCGCCACGCTATTCAGTGCATTTTTGCCGTCGATTAATCGACAACTCGTTTAAAATCCTCGCTACAAACTACAACTAAAAACCTCACAATTGAGGAAAATGCCGAAGGAAGCCCTAGAAATTACTTCTAAGGGCAAAACCAAATCTAAAGATCGACCATTGAGCGTGTCTCAAGGTGAAAAAACCACAGAACAGCACCTAGATGGCTTGGCGCCAAGCCCAAGCACATTCATAACACACGTGGCTACAGATAATTCTGTAAAGCCCTCTGAACTCCAACAATTTGGAGAACTCCTTTCTAAAATCATGCTTGCAATGCAACAATCTATGCAGCAATCTTTCAGTAAAATTACTGATGTGCTGTCGAGATTAACGGAGGAAGGAGAAATCTTCGATGATGACGAAGAGAGAGTCGTTGAGGAGCGACCAGAAGAAATGGCGGGAGACGTGCCCATGCCGAAGAAAAGAAAAGCTCAGCTTGAGTCTGAGGATAACACACCAGCTGAATCGAGCAAAGGTGAAGGCACACTACATGACAATCTCTAAAGCTGGAGGAAAAGTGCTCACCCAAAGTGGCTGAACACCTTGGAAAAGTCGTAAATGGCGTAGTGCAAACACGACTATCAGACGAAGTTCAAGCCGACAGGCTAAAGGCTTACCAACGGCCCGAGAATTGCGATAGTCTCGTGACCGTGAAAGTCAACCCGCTAATTTGGGAGAAACTAAGGTCAGAAACAAGATCTGCTAATATAAAACTGCAGAAAGTTCAAACTCTTATAATTAAGAATGCCATACCGTCAGTACAAGCCATTGAGGCCCTCAACAAAGTACAGGATCAAATCCCTAAAGACATACTAGATGTACCTGCTCTTATGAAACAGCTATCAGACGGAATAGCGTTAACTGGATGTGCTAGTTATGAATTGAACATGAGGCGACGAGAGGCTATTAAGCCTGACTTGAACCAAGAGTATAAACACCTCTGTTCACCTAAGGTACCAGTCACCGAATTTTTATTCGGTAGCGATTTATTGCAGCAATTAAAGGATATGGCACAAGCTAACAGAATAGCTAGTAAGCTAAGTTCATCGAGGAACTACTCGAACAACAAAGATAGGTCATCATATAAACATGCATTTAAGAAATACAAAGGATTTGGCTACAAGAACAGAGATAATTACAACAGGAAGGATTTAAACTCCTTCAGACCCTCCTACCGCCAAAAGAGAAGGGGGAGGGCAAAGATCAAACCAACTGAACCAGAATGACGACAAGGAAACTTCTATCTCCAATGAGGTAAGAAGTCAATCTTTATTTTCTAAAGCCAAACCTTTTCAAGCAGGCAGGTTAAAGCAATTTGCACATGAATGGGAAAAATTAACCTCAGATGTGCACATTCTAGACAGTGTAAGACATTGTCATATTGACTTTGTGTCAGGGGAAATCCCTAATAAACATTCTATCCGAGAGAATTAAAATATACCCCAACAGAAAAAGGGATAATTGAAACTGAGCTAAAAATGCTCATAGATAAGAAAGTAATCATGGAATCACAGTACTGTCAAGGTGAATTCATTTCCAATTTATTCATTCGTCCTAAAAAGTCTGATGATGGCTACCGGCTAATACTTAACCTTAACGTCTTAAATAACAGTATTGTATACCATCATTTTAAGATGCACTTTTTTGACAACAATCAAGTTTGTCACAAAAGGCTGCTTCATGGCCACGGTTGACCTCAAGGATGCCTATTGTTCAGTGCCTATTGCACCTGAGCATCAAAAATACTTGAAATTCAGATTTAATGGGAAACTATATCAATATACATGTCTGTCAAATGGCTTAGCATGTGCACCAATGCTATTCATTAAATTGCCTAAACCTGCCTACGCACACCTTAGACAAAAAGGGTTTATATCCTCTGCATATATTGACAATAGTTACTTACAGGGTGACACATTTGAGGACTGTAAGAAAAATGTTGATCTTACTGTGGACCTATTTCAAAGGCTTGGTTTTACAATTAGTCAGGAAAAATCTGTAGTGACTCCCCAGAATAGACTAGAGTTTCTGGGTTTTGTGATCGACTCACAGTCTATGACCATTACACTCAAACAAGACAAAATCACCAAACTCAAAGTGTTATGTGAATCTGCAATCAAGCAAGACAGCCTGACAATCAAGTCACTGGCAGAATTAATTGGCACTATAGTTTCTAGTTTCCCCGCTGTTCAATATGGACCGTTGTTTTACAGATCCCTAGAACTTGCTAAATGTGAAGTGCTTAGATACAACAAAGGGGATTATGGTGCTACTATGACATTAAATAATGAGTGCAGACATGATCTGCAGTGGTGGATTGATAATGTTGAATCAACTTATAAATTGATCTGTCAGCCATTGCCCTCTATTACTACCCAATCTGATGCTTCCCTGGAGGGATGGGGGGCAGTTAGAGGGGAAACTTCAACTGGAGGAAAATGGAATCAGACAGAAGCCCAGAGACATATCAATTATCTTGAGCTTCTTGCAGCTTTTTACACATTAAAATCCTTATGCAGTGACTGCCAGGACGTGCACATTCTGATGCAGATAGATATCACAACTGCAGTGTCATACATAAACAATATGGGGGGTACAAGATCATATCAGTGTAATGAAACATCTAAAGAAATATGGCTCTGGTGTATCCAGAGAAACATTTGGCTAAGTGCCACTCATCTACCAGGATCAGAAAATATACTAGCAGACGAAAAGTCACGAAAATTTGACGACCAAACAGAATGGATGATAAATAAGAACATTTTTCAAAAAATTACCCATGTTTTAAGCCAACCAGACATAGATCTGTTTGCAACAAGACTTACCACTCAATGTAAAACCTATGTATCTGGAAACCAGATCCAGGTGCAGCCTTTGTTGGTGCCCTGTCAATGGAATGGGGAAAACTAAAATTTTATGCCTTTCCCCCTTTCAGCATAATCAACAGATGCCTGCAGAAAATTCGGGAAGAGGGGGCAGAGGGGATACTTATAGTGCCCCTTTGGACAACACAGATGTGGTATCCCATGCTCTTGAGAATGCTAATCAGGAGCCCAATTCTGTTATCAGTGCAAGAGAACCTGTTGATGTTACCGACAAAGAAAGACTGCTCTCACCCCTTGCTCAAGAAAGTGAGATTAGTTGCATGTCTATTATCAGGAACTCCCTCGAAAGCAAAGGATTTTCCCATGCAGCAACCAATATTATCTTGTCTTCCTGGAGACTGTCTTCAAAGGCTCAATATGACTCATACATTAAAAGATGGGTTCAGTTCAGTACTCAAAGGCAGATTAATCCAATTTCACCATCTGTAGAGCAAGCCATAGAATTCCTGACAGAATTCTATTCCCAAGAACTAGGTTACAGTGCCTTAAACACTGCAAGGTCAGCTTTATCTGCAATTATATTACCTGTTAATAATTGTTTTTGGAGACAGTCCATATGTTAAGAGATTTCTAAAAGGAGTTTTCCAAACTCGACCATCACTTCCTCCTTATACGAAAATGTGGGATGTAAGTTTAGTGTTAAAATTTCTTTCTACATTAATACCCACAGAGAAGTTACCATTTAAAGAGTTAACACACAAGCTAGTTATGCTTGTTGCACTAGTTACTGCTCAGCGGGGACAGACTTTACAATTGTTAGACATTGGTTCCATGGTAGAGGAACCCACAGCATACACATTCCTGCTACATGAACATGTTAAACAAGCTAGACCAGGAATGAAAGGACAAATTATCAGGCTTCAAGAATTTCCAAATAAAGACCTTTGTGTTTTCACTACATGTAAAGAATACCTTGCTAGAACTCAAGATCTGAGAGGGAACAAAACAAGACTAATACTAACAGTTGCAAAACCGCATAAGCCAGTCAGCAGAGACTCTATCAGACGATGGATCAGAAATGTATTGCAACAGTCAGGCATTGATGTCTCAATGTTCGAATCACACAGCACAAGAGCAGCCTCTACCTCTAAGGCAAAGAGCAGCAATGTACCTTTAGAAGAGATAATGAAAACTGCTGGGTGGAAATCTGATTCCACTTTTGCCAAGCATTATGATTTGCCCATTGCTACAAATGAAAATATATTTGCTAACAAAGTCCTAGCAGTTGACTGATTGTTTACAGTTAATGGTTTTATAACTTACAGATCTTATACATAGCTATGTATACTTATGTAATAAACCATTTGAGTATATTTGATCTTTGGTGTGTTCATCAGTGCTTCCAAATCTCACGTGACTCTGCAGTGCATGATGATGAGGCAGAATTGAAGATTAAACGAGACTTACCTGGAAGTTGAAGTTCGATCTGGATTTTGCTGAGTCATCAGGAACAAGGAGTCACGTGCCCACCCTATCTTAGGGTAAAACCCACCCTGTGCCTCCTTGTTGCATATGGGACTGATTCACACACCGGCTTTCAAGACTGAATAGCGTGGCGGTAAGTGCTTTCTCACGTGACTCCTTGTTCCTGATGACTCAGCATAATCCAGATCAAACTTCAACTTCCAGGTAAGTCTCGTTTAATCTTCAATTTGCCAGCATCTGCTATAAGTAGATCAGGGAATTCAAGAAATTGCTTTTATTTAATGTTTGATTATAGCCTCAGCACTTTGATTCAGGAGCATGTTTCGAATTTCTGTTACAGTTACAATTCTTTAGAGACTCCTTTGTTATTGTTGTTCAGAGATCTTAGAATCCCAAGTGTAAAGTTGTACTTACACGTGAGATTTTTAAACATGGCTATCTATCATGGAAGTGAAAGGTAACCTATCCAAGCCATGCTTGATCAGATCTGAAGCTTCTGACGTGGTATAATTCATTAAAAGCTTTAGCAGAGCAGCATGTGATTCTAATAACCACTGCTGAAATTGAACCGATTGACCTCAAGAGTTGTTTAGTTTTTATAACCAAGCAGATCTTTGCGTAAGCTGTACTTTAGATTTGGCATCATTGTAGGTGTAATAAATCTCAGTTTACAATAAATCCTGGAATTATCTCCGTCGTGGCAACACAATATTTAAAAGCAACATGAATACGTAATTTGTAACGTACCTTAATATAAATTCAAATGTACAACCGTTAAATGCTCATTTGCAACTGAAGATGACATGAGAATGTCGAAACATGTCTTGTAAATTTAAACTCAAAGTTGTTTCTTTTTTGAGAGAACATGAATACATAAGAAGACATTAGCTCAAACTATGAAATTGAAACCAGCCATGAAAAATTAGTGTTTTACTTAGATTTTTCAAGACAATCAAGTTTTCAGTTTTCCACATAGTTGGAAAGGAAGCCCAGCCTATATTAGTCTGTTAATTAGCTTGCTGGTGATATTAAGTCTAAATTTCATTTTTATGTAAAGATTATCTGAAGATTTAAGTGTCCACGAAGAACAATTGCAAGAAAGTCATATTCAAGAGCTTGCTGAGGCAGTCAAAAATCAACTGAGTAAGTAAACGAGACAAGCCCTTCCTTAATATCTTTAACCCTCTAACTCCGAAGATCTTTTAATAAATGTAACTTTGCTGTTACATTAAATCTTTTAACCAGAGTTGTATCAACCATATCTGATGGTTCATCTGGTTGCTTTGTGAACTTTAATATGTCCCAAGATCTGATTGTTAATTTTCCTCTTTAACTGCCTCACATTTCCGTGTAGTTTCAAGTATTTGGTGTTAGATCCAGATATCAACTGGTACCTGATAAGTTTGAGTTTCCTCATTGCATGTTCACCAGGTAATTTATGGATATGAAAGGGAGAATTTATATCTTTATCGCCTCTGGGAGATGAAGAGTTGCCTAAAAGCCACCAAAGCGCCCTTGACCTAATTTGAAAAGTTGTCAAAGTGGTAGAATCTACAATCCAGTATCTCCTGAGAGATTGGATCGATACGATGCATAGGCCAGTGTCCACATGCTACTTAAAGGGAAAGTGCGGTCGAGAAAAAGTTTACTTATATCAAAAGTTCCTTGCTTGCATTTTCCTAACTGGCTATTCATTTGAGCTAAAAGCGTTTTAGTTGCCAACAACTATGTTCTAAACATCGGCATTTTCAAATTGAAGTCCGCCATCTTTGTTATGACGAAACTATGACGTAGCAATAGTAAAACATGCTAAATTATATCCCTGCTGAAGTGGATGTAAATAAGGAAAACAGTGGCGAGGAGAGCGCAATTTATTACATTCTTGAATTAAATTTTAATCTGGCCGAGAGGGTGTAATACATCCATTAATTTTTCAAACGAAACATGGCTTTTCTTCAGGGAAGGACATATCTCTGTTGGAGAGAAAGAGAGAGAAAGTCAGGAAAATGAGTTTCATGTCTCTTGCGGCAACTGTCAGAAGAAACCTACGGAAAACGAGAATGTATGCTCCTAAGAATTAAATGTATTAGGACACTAACTCAATTTGAAAGAGGTTTCATCGTGTCCAATCGATATGATGTGGGGAAATATGGGCGCCAGCCTTACAGAGAAAAAGCAACATTCCAAATTCCAATTCGATCTGGAAACAGTGGACAAAGGAGAGCCACCCAGTGGAATTTCCATTGCTCAATTATTCATTATTATTTATTATTTATTATTTATTATTGAAGGATAATTGTATTTGGCGCAAACGTGTCTGTCTTGATTATTTGTCGGCAATGTATCAAATGTAGTTTTTTTCGCAGGAGAATGTGACTGGTGGGGTAACAAAAATTTACGCGGTGGACTCATAACAGATTTAGGAAAGACAAGATATATTTATACACTGCTTGGAAAAGCGCACGATGTTGAAAATCGGCTTTAGTCAAGGGTGGCGACTGAGAATTTACCACACATGGTGTACCACCATTTCGAGCTTCAATTTATTCACTCACAATAGAATAGTTTGAAAGAATTCATAGATTAAATAATTGAAACATGTGTTAAATATGGAAAAGGTAAACATAGCTTTCAGTTTGAAGCGAAGCTCAACAAGGAAAACTTACATACCTGTATATCTCGCTGGAAGTCTTCGTTTGGGCAGTTCTGAGGTTTGGCAGGGTTTGCCAAGCCGTCCTCGCGGGTTATTTTTTTTCCGGCCAACTTTTCTTTAATATTTCACCTTTCAATAGCCTGTGGAGGCTAACACCTTTTGCTTTTGAATTTTAGTATGTATTTTGACGTAAAACCACACGGCAGTTCACCTCATTTCAACTATGAGGAGTATTAGAAGTTGTTTTCACAAAGGTCAAACAGGTGAACAAGGACAAAGCGCCGAACAAAGTTTAACTATTGCTACGTCACAACTGACGTTATATCCAAGATTGCGGGTTTTTCTAACCACGAAAGTTGTAACATTGGGCAACTTCAAAGCACTCTTGTCGCTAATACAGAGCAAACTGGACGAAATGGCAGTTATTTTCGAAGTGCTGAGGAAAAAGTCTTCTAATTGAGATAAACTTTTTCTAGACCGTACTTTTCCTTTAATCGCTGGGTTATTGTTGTTTCTGGTTCCAGCGACCTTGGGGGTTACGACCACTTTTTCTCCCGACTTTAATTTACATAAAAAACATGAATGTCCATTAATTTTGTACCGAACTCCTGCGAATTGGTCCTCATGTACATGAACCCCAGGCAGAAGGCACTATTAGGACTCTAAAACTGTCCTTTCCAGCGTTAATTCTCTGTTATCTGCTAGAATTTATCGATTCACAGATGATTCACGTATTTCACTTCTCTAATTTTTAACCACTATCTTAACTGTCACTTACTTTGCACTCTGATAACTCTGACTGACCCTTACTCATATTCGGACGGACATATCAACCTATTCTCTAACTCACTGGCCTATAAACAGCAGAAGGAAGACAAGAACAGCCATCAAGGGAACCAACAGAAGGAGAAGAAGAACAGCCACCTGGGGAATCAAAAGAAGCAAGAGAAAAACAGCCATCAGGGAAACCAGCAAAGGGAGGACAAGAACAGCCACCAAGGGAACCAGCAGAAGAAGAAGAAGAGTCATTAAAGGAACCAGCAGGAGGAGAAGAACAGCCACTGAAAGAACCAGCAGGAGGAGAAGAACAGCCACGGAAGGAACCAGCAGGAGGAGAAGAACAGTCACTGAAGGAACCAGCAGGAGAAGAAGAACAGCCACTGAAAGAACCAGCAGGAGGAGAAGAACAGTCACTGAAGGAACCAGCAGGAGGAGAAGAACAGCCACTGAAAGAACCAGCAGCAGGAGAAGAACAGCCACTAAAAGAACCAGCAGGAGGAGAAGAACAGTCACTGAAGGAACCAGCAAAAGGAGAAAAACAGCCACTGAAAGAACCAGCAGGAGGAGAAGAACAGTCA